AGACACACACACACAGACACACACACACACACACACAGAGAGAGACACACACACACAGAGAGAGAGACACACACACACAGACACACACACACACACACACAGAGAGAGACACACACACACAGAGAGAGAGACACACACACACAGACACACACACACACACACACAGAGAGAGACACACACACACAGAGAGAGAGACACACACACACAGACACACACACACACACACACACGCTCGCACACACACACACACACACTCACACACACACACTCATACTCACACACACACACACACAGGAACATTTTCTTCCCTCAGGCAGTCCATCTTAGGAACACTTCACAATAATTGTGGAACACACAACACTATTTATACACTTATTCATCTAACACACATACTTGGTTTACATTTCGAATTTGCATATAATATACCTGTACATACAATTGTCAACTTGTATATTGTTATTCCCTATTTACTTGTTCTGTTTTTATTCTTTTATTATCTGTGTTTTGTCTTGTCACTGTCACTCAGTTACACTGTGGAAGCTTCTGTCACGAACACAAATTCCTCGTATGTGTGAACATACCTGGCAATAAAGCTCATTCTGATTCTGATTCTCAAACAAAACATATATGTGACCCTGGACCAAAAAACCTCATAATGGTCAATTATGTATGTATCTGGAAGCTGAATAAATGAGCTTTCCATTGATGTATGGTTTGTTAGGATAGCACAATATTTGAAAATCTGGAATCTGAGGGTGCAAAAAAATCTAAATATTGAGAAAATCATCTTTAAAGTTGTTCAAATGAAGTTCTTAGCAATGCATATTACTAATCAAACATTAAGTTTTGATATATTTACGGTAGGAGATTTACAAAATATCTTCATGGAACATGATCTTTACTTAATATCCTAATGATTTTTGGCATAAAAGAGAAATGTATAATTGTGACCCATACAATGTATTGTTGGCTATTGCTACAAATATCCCCCAGCGACTCAACACTGCTTCTGTGCTGCAGGCTCACATATAAGATATATCTTTTAATGTGGTAAAATATATATATTTTAATAATAAGTGATGGGGCGTGGCTTGTGGGCGTGGTCAGGTTTTCCTTCTTTTGTCTCTAGCTGATCACATGCTTGATAAATGAACTATAGTGTCCTGCTCCCACTAGTAAAAAAATATCAAATTATATCTGGCGTCTGAATGATTTTTGGTTTGACTGTATATCAGTGTTTAACGTGGAGTTTTTGAGGAGTTGAATGCAGAATATTAAGGAGAGTTATGTTAAGAATGTTAAGGAGTTTGTAACCCGTGTTCAGGTTTCTGCTGAAGGATGGGCAGCTGTGGCTTTGCGCTCCGCAGGCCAAGCAGATCTGGAAGTGTCTGGCGGAGAACGCCGTGTTTCTGTGCGACCGCGAGGCCTGCTTTAAGTGGTACTCCAAGCTCATGGGTGACGAGCCGGATCTGGACCCCGACATCAACAAGGACTTTTTTGAGAGCAACGTGCTGCAGCTGGACCCCACGCTGCTCACGGAGAACGGCATGAAGTGCTTCGAGCGCTTCTTCAAAGCTGTGAACTGCAGAGAGGGCAAGCTGGTGGCCAAACGCAGGGCGTACATGATGGACGACCTGGAGCTGATCGGGCTCGACTACCTCTGGAGGGTATCACCTGACGATCATGCACTCGTATCACTGTTATCACTGGTGTATAGGGCTGGGGATCGCTTGAATTTGATCAGTTCCAGTTCTGATTCCTCTTATCGATTCCCAGTTTTGATTCCAATGTGGTTAAAAAAAAATGAAGTCAAACATTTAGATATCAAACCTATTTATTCTGTGTCTCTTTTCGCAAAACATTTAATTGCTGCTGAATACCATGAACAAAAATCAGCCGGCTGCATTAAAACTGGACTCGATTAAGGAATCAGTGCTTTTGAATGAATCTCTTGAATGAATGATTCAGTGATTCACTCAAGATTCACTTGTTTCATTACAAGATAAATCAGTGTTTTTGAATGAATGATTCAAAGACAAATACATTTTTAACAGCCCCTTTTCGCCAGCTGTAAATAAAGATGCACACACAGGAATTGATAGGTGTTTACAAGAAGCCTTTTTTTTTTTTTTGCATTCACAGCTCACTTGGCGTACCTAAAAGCCACATAATTATTCTTTAATGTTTTATAACCTCCAAGAAACGGCATGTTTCAGAAGCGGCTTCAGTCTCCTTCAGTTAAAGATAATAGTTAGTGCGGTGGCTGCGATATACATAAACCTACCAACATCGGACTTATCGCAAGAGGAAAAAATTAAGTTTTAGTTGCATAACATCGGTTAATGGAAACACTGTCATTTCGTAATAGTTTTTAATTGACATTTTGTGCATATCTGTAATGGAAACGCACCTAGCATTCAGCTGCAGTGTGAACGCTGCTCATCCAGATCATGTTATTCAGATTTTACTGTGATTTCATCTGGGTTCTTCTCCACAGCTCGTGATTCAAGGCAGTGATGACATCGCCACTCGAGCCATAGACCTGCTGAAGGAAATATACACCAACCTCGGACCAAAGCTACAGGTGAATCAGGTGAGCCGGTGTTCCTCGCCCGACCGTCAGCCGCTAACATGCCGTTAAATCACGTCTGATCCGGTGCTGTCGCCGTTTACAGGTCGAGATCCATGAGGACTTCATCCAGTCGTGCTTCGACCGGCTCAAGGCTTCGTACGACACGCTGTGTGTGCTGGACGGAGATAAGGACAGCATTAACTGCGCCAGACAGGAGGCCATACGCATGGTGCGCGTTCTGACGGTGCTCCGAGAGTACATCACCGAGTGTGACAGCGACTACCACGAGGAGAGGACCATCCTGCCCATGTCCAGGTGCCTGCTGCACTTACACCAGACCTTCTGTACTTCAGCACGCTAGCTGTGTTTACATACAAACATTCAAATATAACTCGTGCGCAAAACTGGAATATCGCATAAAACATTTGTGAGTAAAGCACCGTTTCCATGCAGCGAGTCAAAGAGAACAAAAGCATCACTTCCCGATAAACGGGCTCTAAATATCACACAGAACTTTTATAAAGAATATCTCTTTGGATTTGAGACTTTAGTCTTTTACAGATCTTCTTTATGCACCAAGAGCTTGTAACACTCCAAAGAGAAAGGAACACTTGAAATTGCATCATATGACCGCTTTAAGACAATTATACAGAAATACTTTGCTCAGGCCTTTCAGAACAACCAGAACAACATTTCAGATGCTGTGAACGAGATCGGCCCGCTGGTTAGTCGAGTTATCCCATCTCATAGCGCAAAGCTTCATGACTTTTTCGATGCGCATGGTGGAATTTATTCAGTAAATGTGTTTCCATCGTAGTTTATGCGCAATTATTATTATCAGTCAGCGGCAGCGCACGAAGTGAGCAGAGAAAATAGTACTCCTCTCAAAAAACTTACAAAGATAATTTTAGATGTTTAATTACTATTTGGAGCATTGAGATTGCTAGACGAGGGCTTAATCAAGTCATTTTTGTGAAAACCTGAAATTCAACCAAAATTGAAAAAACACTTCTTTTTTTCTTTTTTTTTGTCTGTAGCTCAAAATTAGCCTGTGTGCGTTCACACTCATTTTTCCAGCATGGCTCACATTTTAATTAAACAAGGTCAGAACATTTAAAAAAAAAAGAAAGAAACATGCTTAGATTCTTCACCGTATGATCTATACCATGCATTTAGAAAACAGATGAGGTGAATTTACATTTCATGCAGACTTGAACACATGCAGTAGGAAGCCAAACAGTGACAAAAGGGTCTGAACTGCTCTCTGGTGTTGTCTGTCTGCGCTCCAGGGCGTTCCGTGGGAAGCACATCACTCTGGTGGTGAGGTTTCCCAATCAGGGCCGTCAGGTGGAGGACTTGGACATCTGGTCCCACACCAACGACACCATCGGCTCGGTCCGCCGCTGCATCCTCTCTCGCATCAAAGCCAACAGCACACACACTAAAGTAGAGCTGTTCATCGGAGGAGAGATCGTGGACCCCGCTGAGGACCGCCGGCTGATTGGACAGCTCAACCTCAAAGATAAAACTGTGAGCTTTACAGATGTCTCAGTGTGTATGTTAGGGGTGTAACGCTACAAAAACCTGACGCTACCTCGGTTTTGACGTCACGGTCCGGTATGGTACAGCAGTGCCAGCAGTAACAGTAGTTTACTGCACAAATTGCTTTTTCTTTAAGTAAATTCAATTACAATTATAATTTTCTTCTCCTAAAAACTTCTCCTCTGAACCACAAGGGAGCCCTTTTACAGTACTATAAGATTACAATTAACAACCGAGCCCACACTTAAATTCAATTACTATTTATTTTTAACTATAATAATCGACACTCAAATTAAAAATGTGTACGCAAACATGTAAATTGCACATAGCTTCTAAATTATACAGTTTCTATTTGTTGTTTAAATATATTCATTTGCACAGTGGCTGTCGTAACTTGTTTCATAAAAGGTTTATTTGAATATACATTAAATGGTTAAGACATCACTAACAGGTAAAGTAAAATATAATAAGTGTATAGTCTAATATTTCTCAAAATGCTAATTTCTCGAGCAAATAACGAGCTGTTGGACACTGATGACTTGCCTGAGGGTTTTAATGACGCCTTTCCGCGGTTGAAACATTATTAAGTGATTAGATTACACGAGGCATGAGATGTTCATTCATGTTTATTTCACACTAAAACTAGAAACTAGTTGTAAAGAGGAGCCGAGTTAGAACTGAGGCTTCTATGTGTTCAGTACATGTGATACACGATACACACATTTTCAGTACGAATATGTGTACCATTACACCCGAGTATATACTGATATTTGACGTGAAGCGTCCAGAGATGAGCTGCTAAAACACTGACTCTTCCTGTAGCTCATCACAGCGAAGCTCACGCAGGTCAGCACCAACATGCCCTCCAGCCCCGACAGCTCGTCCGACTCGTCCACCGGCTCGCCCGGGAACCACACAAACCAGTACAGCGACGGGCCGAACCCCGAGGTGGAGAGCTGCCTGCCAGGAGTGGTGAGAACCATGTTTGTGCTTCACACGTCCCTGCGTTAAATAATTTTAACGCCGTTAAACTAGAAAAATTAATTGCCTGCATTAATGCGCTAATTTTGACAGCACTAATATAAACCTATAAATCTTCTAATTAGAGCTGCACGATTCTGGAAAAAAATGAAAATCACGATTTTTTTGTCTCAAATAGAGATCACGATTCTCCCACGATTCTATAATTAATTTGAATGAATTATTAAACATTTTAATATATTTACATTTAGTCATTTAGCAGACGCTTTTATCCAAAGCGACTTACAAATTACATAATATATGTATTTAAAATATATATTTAATACACCAATTTTTAATATAAATTTTATGAAAAAGTGATTTGAATGAAGGATTCAATGTCTCACTCATAAATACTTCACTTGTTTCAGTCCTGGATAAATCAGCGTTTTTGAACGAATCTCTTGAATGAATGATTCCATGACAAATACATTTTAAATGGTCACTTGTCGCCACCTAGTGGAGAGACGATGCAATCGACACAAACGTTATTTGAAGCACCAGTTACTTTCAAAAGAAGCCTTGCTCTATTTTGATCGCTACCTTAGACATCAGTGTTTATATCCAAACTATAACCTTTCATCCCAGTATTTCTGTGATAACATGAATGACTGTAAGACAGAAAAATACTGTTTGTGAAGCTGTTTCTTACCTAAACACGGTAACTTATGGGCCAGAGTTGTAATTTCTGGTCTGACGCACAGAATAGTCTGTCAGCACGTCTTGTTGAGGTGACTGTTTTTCTTCTCTCCTCAGATCATGTCGCTGCATCTGCGCTACATCTCCTTCTTGTGGCAGATCGCTGATCTGGGCTGCACCCTGAGCATGCCGTTACTGCGAGACGGAGCTCGAGTGCTCATGAAGCTCATGCCTCCAGGTCGCCGCAAACATCGTGATGACTTGCTCTGTAGCATGCGGTCTGGCTGTGAGGGTCACTGAAATGTGCTGCTTGTGTTCACAGATAACACTACAGTGGAGAACCTGCGAGCGATCTGTTTGGATCACGCTAAGCTGGGAGAGAACAGTCTGAGTCCCACTCTGGATTCACGCTTCTTTGGCCCGTCTGCTTCACAAGTGCTCTACCTCACCGAGGTATCTTCATGCTGCTGACACGTAACAGTCACACTAGCTATCGCTCGTTTCACATCAGTCGTCTTTGAGCGTGTGGGCCGCAGACTGCAAATCAGCGCGCTAGGTTTTGGAGCAAATCTGGTATTGCTGCACGATTCATCAAAATAAAACTGAAATTAGATTAAAGCTGTCATTAATTACTCGCCCTCATATCGTTCCAAACCCGTAAGACCTTCGTTCATCTTCAGAACACAAATTAAGATGTTTCTGATGAACTCCGAGAGCTCTCTGTCCCTTCATAAACAGCAAGGATCCTAACACGATCGAGGCTCAGAAACGTAGTAAGGACATCGTTAAAATAATCCATCTGTCATCAGTGGCTCAACTGTAATTTTACGAAACTATGAGAAAACTTTCTGTGTGCAAAGAAAACAAAAATAACGACTTTATTCAACAATTCATCTCCAGAATAAGTATATCTGTGAAATTATTATATATTATACTGATATACAATCATATTCATTTTATATAGTTTTTTTATATATATATATATATAATTTTTTTTTTAATGTTATGCTTTTGTTTAGTTGTAGTAATAATAATAATTGGTAGTAAGAGTAGTTGTATATTATCTGTTAAATAATTATTATATATTATACTGATATATAATCACAGATTTTTTTTAAAATCTCAATCACAGCTTTTATCAGGAATTTCCCAGTGAGATGTTGTCGTGCAGCACTGAGGTGTGGTTTGTGTGGTGTCAGGTGGTGTATGCGCTGCTGATGCCAGCCAGTGGAACGCTGGGAGACGACGCCAGTGGCTTCCAGTGCAACCTCCTGAAGAGCGGCGGTCTGCCTCTGGCGCTGGGCATGCTCACCAGGAACAACTTCCTTCCCAGTGCGGACATGGAGACGAGACGCGGCGCCTACCTGAACGCCCTGAAGATCAGCAAGCTCCTGCTGACCGGCGTGTGTTAGTATATTAAATATATTTATATATAAATGTAATTATATGAATATAAATAAATACATGCATGTGTGTGTGTATTTATAGATGCATAATAAATATACACAGCACACACACATATATATTATGTAAACAAAAACGTTTATTTTGGATGCGAAATCGTTTCATACCGTCATGTGACCACGATAGCATCGAGACAGTTTTGCTATCGCAATATCACGAGATTAATATTATGGTTACATCCCTAAATCTGAGACTTGGTTATATTTCTTCACGGTGATGTGACTGTGTTTGTGCTCCAGATAAATCAGGCGACCCATGAGCAGGCTCTGGTGCTGCAGAACGCTCTCCAGAGCATTCCCAATCCCGCCTCCGAGTGCATGCTGCGCAGCGTGTCCCTCCGGCTGGCCCAGCAGATCTCCGACGAGGTTCCTGATCTTTACTGCTTTACAGTCGCTGTGTGAGGCCTACTTCACGCTGATATTCCTAATTGTGTTGCTTTCCGTCATTGTGCAGAACTTCTTCCAGGCCTCAAAGTACATCCCGGATATCTGTGTGATCCGCGCCGTGCAGAAGATCGTCTGGGCTTCCGGTTGTGGGATGGTGCATCTGGTCTTCAGCTCGAACGAAGAGATCAGCCAGATCTACGAGAAGGCATGGTCATGGTTTCTGCAGGATTTTTAACCTCAAATTTAAGACCTGCATAAATTAAATTAATACCGTATGAGAGCGAGGTAGGGCAATGTCTATGGTAACAATGTCTATGTAAAAAGCATGGTTTACAGTTCAGATACAAGTTTTCACAAAAACAAAAAGTTTTATAAAATAATAAGCTTCACATTTCCTTAAACACATTACTGGTGTTCCTCTTGAGACAAAACAAAGGCACTGATGTATTTTAAGATCAGTCAAGTGCAAGTTGACACAGCTCAGATTAACATTTTAGTCTGGGACTAGGCTTAAGCCTTGTCTGTGAAAGCAGGGGTTTATGGCCTTACACTTGATGCAACTAAATGTAAGACTTTTTAAGGACCCGCGGAGGCCCTGGGTTCATCTGCGCTCACCACTGTTTTATCCCTCGTTTAAGCGTGCATCTGTCGTTCTGCAGACTAACGCAGGTAACGAGCCGGACGCTGAAGACGAGCAGGTGTGCTGTGAGGCGCTGGAGGTCATGACCTTGTGTTTCGCTCTGCTCCCTACGGCCCTCGACACGCTCAGCAAAGAGAAAGCCTGGCAGACCTTCATCATCGACCTGCTGCTGCACTGCCAGAGCAAGTACGTACTTACAGGAGCAGTGCGCTTCTGTTGAGATGCATTTACAGTAACTGTCCTTACAGTGGACGCCTAATAGACCAGTGAGCTGAAGGGGTTAAAGAAGCTGAGGCTGTTTATCATGACGTCTAATGCTATGCATGAGAAAAGTGATGAGTCTGCCTCTGTTTGTTTGTTTTCAGAGCGGTGCGTCAGATGGCACAGGAGCAGTTCTTCCTCATGGCCACCAGGTGCTGTATGGGACACAGACCCCTCCTGTTCTTCATCACCCTCCTCTTCACTGTTCTGGGAGTGAGTACAGCATCACAGCGCTCACGTTTGAGTGATCTAGACACCAGTCGAGTGATAACTCTTCGCTGCTCTTTCAGAGTACGGCGAAGGAAAGAGCGAAGCACGCTGGCGATTACTTCACGCTCTTGCGCCACTTACTCAACTACGCCTACAACAGCAACATAAACCTTCCCAACGCAGAGGTGCTGCTGAACAACGAGATCGACTGGCTCAAGAGGATCCGGGTGAGTCCACAGCGCTTCCACGCCATGCACGAGGAACAGGACGGAGCGATGGCTTTAATTCTCTTTCCTCTGGTTTTCATGGATGTTCAGGATGAGGTGAAGAGGAGCGGAGAGACGGGTGTGGAAGAGACCATTCTAGAGGGTCATCTGGGGGTCACCAAAGAGCTGCTGGCCTTTCAGACCCCGGAGAAAAAGTTCTACATTGGCTGTGAGAAAGGAGGCGCTAATCTGATTAAGGTGAACGGTCTATGCTTTGATTTATGTTTATACTAGGGCTGTCAGTTTAACGCGTTAACTTAACTAATTAGTTAAGAATAAAGCAATTAAAATTTTATGCAGTGCTGGCCCCGCCCCCAGACCTGTACGTCATTACATTTCTAACAGTTGACTGTTGATAAATGTGACTCTGCAGCACAAAAGCAGTGTTGAGTCGCTGGGGGATATTTGTAGCAATAGCCAACAATACATTGTATGGGACACAATTATACATTTCTCTTTTATGCCAAAAATCATTAGGATATTAAGTAAAGATCATGTTCCATGAAGATATTTTGTAAATCTCCTACCGTAAATATATCAAAACTTAATGTTTGATTAGTAATATGCATTGCTAAGAACTTAATTTGAACAACTTTAAAGATGATTTTCTCAATATTTAGATTTTTTTGCACCCTCAGATTCCAGATTTTCAAAAAAAGTTGTATCTCAGCCAAATATTGTCCGATCCTAACAAACCATACACCAATGGAAAGCTTATTTATTCAGTTTATCTCAGTTTAGAAAAATGTACCCTTAAGACTGGTTTTGTGGTCCAGGGTCACAAATGTAATGCAGGGCAACAACTCCATAAATGCAGTTATGACCTAAAATTCAAGCTATAGGGGCAAAAAATGCCCCTGAATGAGTTTTTGTCCCATGTTTATATCATACGATAAGCGATATCACACCAGCAGTGAGAGCAATATCAGACGAGTGCTGTTTTTGTCCTGAATATCACAAGTTTAAATGTGATTTTATTCAACAGTTCAGTAAATAAGAAGTTAATTTTGTGTTATATTTTAAACACAATATTGTCTGTTTTTGCTGAATTTCGCAGAGAAATTATTACCTTTAAAGCCAGAGCAGAATTGTTGTGTGTCTCCGAGCAACACAGCGGTGTTTAGTTTCTGAATGAATCTGTGTTTTGAACGAATCGTGTGAATCAATGATTCAAAGACCCATTCATAGAGAGAGCCATTTACTTTGTTCGAACAAATCGAATGAATGAATGACTCAAAACACATTTACCGCCACCTGCTGGCAGATTTAGTTTCCTATTTAGAGTATAATTTCATTTTTTTTTAAAAACCTTACAGGGATAGTTTTCATCACTTACCCTCATGTCATTTCAAACCGGTATGACTTTTTTGCACAACATAAGAAAAGGTATTTTGAAGACTGTTTGTAACAAAGCTGTTTTGGTTACCAGTGACTTTCATTGTATGAACATAAAATACTGAGATGTTTCCCTAGTTATCTTCTTTTATCTTCCAAAGTTTATGTTAGCCTAAACATTTATGTGTAATAAATTTTATGTTGAATCAAATAATATTTCTTTCTAAAGCTAGTATTTGTAATGTCTACTTGATCCTCTCTCATTTAACACAATAATGGCTTTAAACGATCTTTCGTGGGTAATTTCACAGCCAAATTTAATTAGCTATTAATTAATCGACACATGATGTAATTAATTAGATTGAAAATGTTAATCGACTGACAGCCCTAGTTTGTACAGATATGTTGTGAAAGCGAAGTGCACTTGATTTGTATCTGTCTGTGTCTCTCACAGGAGCTGACCGATGACTTCATCTTCCCGGCGTCTAACGTGTTTCTGCAGTTCGTGAAGAGCGGCGAGTTCCCGGCGGAGCAGGCTATACCGGTGTGCAGCAGTCCTGCGTCTATAAACGCCGGCTTCGAGCTGCTGGTGGCGCTCTCTGTCGGCTGCGTGCGGAACCTCAAGCAGATCGTCAACACGCTCACAGACATGTACTATCTAGGTACCGACTGCATTTCAGATAAACCAGCTGACGTGAAGGGCTTTGCCTGCGTATTAAACACAGACCTGTGGTTTGATCCTAATGGAACCAGATGGTTTTATATTGCTTGTTTATAGGCCTGTTTGCTTTTAGTGCATCAATGAGCCTCATTAACAAAGCATCTGAAAAACATCCTTTATGAATTGAATCGAATGCAACTTTTATAGAAGTGCATTCTGCTCCTGTTTCATGAACAAGAGGCGTTTTAAACTCCTGCATCTGGTCTCAGGTTGCGAGGCGCTTACAGAGTGGGAGTATCTGCCTCCGGTGGGGCCGCGGCCAACCAAAGGCTTCGTGGGTCTGAAGAACGCAGGAGCCACGTGCTACATGAACTCCGTGATCCAGCAGCTTTACATGATCCCGCCCATCCGCAACGCCATCCTGGCCATCGAAGGCACCGGCAGCGACATCGACGACGACGACACATCCGGAGACGAAAAGCAGGACAACGAGGTAAAGAACGCGCACACGTGTCGCTCAACCGTTCCGAAACCCCTTAGCTAGGGTTGGGAATCGAAAATCAATTCCAGAATCGGATGCTTGGTGTAAATTTTTAATTATAAAACGGAGAGTTCCGGTGCTTGATTCTGATTGGCTGAGCCGCGGTCGAAGCTGTTGTAAATGACGCTACAAAGTAACACACACCTTTGTTTACGTTTGTGTGTTGCTCGGCAACCACTTTGTAGCAACCACAACTGTTTCTGAGGAGCTACATTGTTTGGTGGAAGAATACTGTTTTTATTAATATCATTACACTTTATTTGCTCTGTTTTATTCTTTTAAACCTTCCTACATATATGGAATAACCTAACACCTAACAACTTAGCTGTTATAAATTCACTGTAAACCACGGCTTCTTGGGGTTTATTGCTTTATTTCAATTCCACCCATCAATTCCTGTTTTAGTTTGTGAAAAGGGGCTGTTAAAAATTTATTTGTCTTTGAATCAAAAAAGAGATTCATTCAAAAACACTGAATCATTCAGTAATGAATCAAGTAAATCTTGAGTGAGTCATTGAATCATTCATTCAAGAGATTCATTCAAAACACTGAATCATCCAGTAATGAATCAAGTAAATCTTGAGTGAGTCATTGAATCATTCATTTAAGAGATTCATTCAAAACACTGAATCATCCTGTAATGAATCAAGTAAATCTTGAGTGAGTCATTGAATCATTCATTCAAGAGATTCATTCAAAAACACTGAATCATCCTGTAATGAATCAAGTAAATCTCATTGAATCATTCATTCAGAAATTCCGAGATTTTGTTTAGTTGTCTAATATTTTTTCTTCAGAATTGTGAGAGAACTACAACCTCCATTAAAAAAAAAAAGTGTAAATTTCTCCAGAATCGTGCGGCTCTATTTTTGCACACAAACAGCTCTTAATCGAGTCCAGTTTTAATGCAGCCGGCTGATTTTTGTTCTTGGTATTCAGCAGCAATTAAATGTTTTTTTTCAAAAAGAGACAGAATAAATATGTTTGATATCTAAATGTTTGACTTTTTTTTTAACCACATTTGAATCGATAAGCAGAATAGTTATCGGAATTGGAATTGATCAAATTAAAACGATACCCAAACGTACCCTCAGCGCAGAGATGCAGTCGGTTCGGATGCGTCTGAATGTGCATCGTTGTGCTGCAGAGTAATGTGGACCCCAGGGATGATGTGTTCAGTTATCATCAGCAGTTTGATGACAAGCCCTCTCTCAATAAGGCCGAGGACCGTCAGGAGTACAACATCGGAGTGCTGCGGCGTCTGCAGGTCATCTTCGGTCACCTCGCCGCGTCCCGTCTGCAGTACTACGTGCCCAGAGGCTTCTGGAAGCAGTTCAGGTACAGTCAGCCGTGAATGCATGTGCTGTTCTTTTAAATAACATTGTGCATCACCCACAGCCAGTCAGCTTTTGTGTATAATTTGTGGGGAAGTTTAAATCTCTCCCTGTTTCCAAGCTCAATATCCAGAGACAACTGTAAGTGTTGTTTTGTGTAAGCGTCGTCGTGTCGAGTAACCGGCAAAATACCGGACGGAAGTGGTGCATTCCACGAACGAGACAAATAAAAGCATAATGCTATTGTGAATTCACAAACACTACGATTCAGTTAAATAAATGTATGAGATGCAGGTTTAATATGTGCTTTAATAATTTACATGCATGTAGCGGCTACGTTCACAGTAAACGCTGCTCCGCACAAACTCTAATCATTCACACGTGTGGAGCGTCTCTAACTCATCTCTGCATATAGCTGTGAGTTTGGGTTTATTATAATGTTTATCTGGGAACGCAATGTGTGCTATTTCAGATTTGTAAAGTAAATCATTTATAAACCTACGCAAACACAGGAGAATACATCAATATCTTTCTCAATATGCTAACTGTTCATCGCAATTTCAGAATAAAAGCTCAAACCCTCGCTCTGAGTTTACACGTTTTGAAGTCCACGTGTGTGAGAAATTACAGTGGCTGTAGCATTTCTGTCCTAAAGAAATGGCCAAATATTAAAGATTAAGAGGACATTTAAATTAAATGTCGTTTAGTCAATATTAAACAAGGATTAGATCGCGCAGTAAAGTGTAAAACAATGCGTAATGTACACTAGCTCTATCGTTTATAATACATTATGTATTTTAACAGTTTTGTTCAATAAAACCATATGATTACTTGCTTTTGATACTTTATTTGAACTAATTTTTATTGCTTTATTGCGATTAAACATGTATTTTAAGTAATTTTAAAGGATATTGTTGGCATAGGTGTATTTTTATTACCACAGAAAAATTTATTATAATTATCCGATAACTTGATTGCCAAATTTACTTGATTTAGCTGTGGCCGATGAGGGAATGTTGGGGAAACATGGATTTCGTTTGTCATTCTGTCTGGTGATGCTAGTGGCTCAGAAGTGACGCAGTGCACTTTTAATCCATGTGAAGTAAGACGACTGCGTGTGAAACGTTCCCGCAGGTTGTGGGGGGAGCCGGTGAATCTGAGAGAGCAGCACGACGCGCTGGAGTTCTTCAATTCCCTGGTGGACAGCCTGGATGAAGCGCTGAAAGCCCTCGGCCACCCCAGCATGCTCAGCAGGATCTTGGGCGGCTCGTTTGCAGACCAGAAGATCTGTCAGGGTTGTCCTCACAGGTGAGTGAAGGACTGCTCAGTCATTCTGAGGATGTTGAAGTGTATTTGAATCGAGGAATCGTCACTGGTTTCACGATTCAATTCGATTATCATGTCAACGATTCGATATCACAATGCATCGCATCCTCAATTTTCAATATTACGGCACATGGCTACATTTTCATATTCATTTTATATCAGATTTATTTTGTGTATTTCTATTAAATTATACAAGCAGTCTACTTTTTAAAATAATTACAAATTAATAATAAATCAGAACAATTGTTAAGAATTTAACCAACTAAATATAGCTTCAAAACATACAAGCCAATATAAAGTAATAAAGGGGGAAAAGACGATTACAAGTGATTAACAAAACGTACTTTCAGTATCTGAGAGTGTTCTAAGAATCCGAAGGTTTACAGACAGTCTAGGGGTGTGCGATGTATATTGTCTGCGATAATATTGTAAGTGTTGTTTTAACGATGTGCGATATGACATTATCGAGTATATCGCAAAAAACTAACAAAACGCAGTGCTACAGAGTGCACGCTTACATTACATGATGAAGTCTAGTAGGTTAGACTAGTTCAATAAACAAGATGATAATTAAGAGACTTGCGTTTTAGACACCATATTGCCTGTTTTTGCTCTATTTCGCCAACAAAAATAATTCCATACAAAGCCACAGCGCTGTTGTGTGTCTCTGAGCAACATGACAGTGATTCGTTCCTGAATGAATCACTCGTTTAAATGATTTGGTTCAATTGAATCGCAGTGACTCACTTATTAACAGTGACTTGCTGCCACCTGCTGGCGGTTTTAATTTCACATTTAAAGTATCTTTTCATTTTGTAAATAATTTCAAATATCAGTATTCAGCATTTTGTGTTTAAAATATCAAAATATTATTTATGTATTTGTAACTGCAGGTTAAAGCATTCATGTTCCTCTGAGCTGCATTAAACAGTGTGTAAACATCTAAATGCCTCTTCAGACGCAGCTTCTGTGTTTCCTCTGCATTGCAAAGATTAATTTAGTTGATACTGATTTCATTTGTATGGTAACAGCTCAAATGTCTTATTATTCTAATTGACTAATTAAATATGAGATATAATAAAATTAATAAAATGTATTCACTCAAAAGATGATGTACACATTTAGAAAAAAATGGCTTTATAAAGGTAGAAAAATGCCCATAAAAGGTAAAAATCAATTAAAACTTGTTGAAAAAGATCAATTTCTATCACCATCACACAGAATATGAAGAATATCAAAAACTTTAGGAGTCAGCTGTCCACGACAGTCCTTAAGATATCAGCACGATATCGTCTAATTATCGTTGTCAATAAAATCCCAGAAAATGTAGAGATATAATTTTTTGTCAATATCGCACACTACTAAAACAATCAATAGTTATGGGTTTTTCTTTTTCCCTCAGCATTATTGCTGATTGATTATTACTGCTGAGATCACAGACAGTGGCAGCTTTAATCGACTGCATTCACACTAATGCACAGATCTGCTTCCACATATCAGATGTTTTGTGCTGTTCTGAAAACATAACTCAGTGTTTACATCAAGTTCCTATCATACAAGTATTCAGAGACGCAAGTGTGTTTAACCCAGCTGCGATCGAGCTTCAGGACAAGCACACACAGCAATGCACACGCGTCTCTCAGCACAGATCCTGTGCAATGAAGCTGCCGCGATTCTCTCTAGCGCACACACGTGCCATATGCGTGAAAAACCAAGCTCAGATTTAACAAGCGAGTATGCGAATGACGTCAGAAGGCTATAATAGATAATGGTCTATTACTGCATCAATGCAGAATCGTCCGCATCGCGATGCATCGTAGACACGATTAATTTCAACACCCCTAATCCATATACGTGTGTTGTGTGTGTCTTCATAGGTATGAGTGTGAGGAGTCCTTCACAACACTGAATGTAGACATCAGGAACCACCAAAACCTCCTTGACTCTTTAGAACAGTACGTCAAGGGGGATCTCCTCGAAGGAGCCAATGCGTACCACTGTGAGAAGTGCAACAAAAAGGTGAGACGTGTTCCCTAAATCCGGTCTGATTGAAGTTGTGCAGACTGGTGAGCTTTGCTCTGGTTTGCCGTCAGGTGGACACGGTGAAGCGTCTCCTTATAAAGAAGCTCCCGCCGGTGTTAGCCATCCAGCTGAAGCGCTTCGATTACGACTGGGAGCGCGAGTGTGCGATTAAGTTCAACGATTACTTCGAGTTCCCTCGTGAGCTGGACATGGAGCCCTACACGGTGGCAGGCGTGGCGAAGCTGGAGGGTGACGAGGTTCCGCCGGAGAGCCAGGTCATCGCTGAGAACTCTGATCCGAACAGCAGCTCCCGCTATCGGCTCGTGGGTGTGCTGGTGCACTCGGGGCAGGCCAGCGGCGGACACTACTACTCTTATATCATGCAGCGGCACTGTAATGGCAGCGACGGACAGAAGGACCGCTGGTACAAGTTTGACGACGGCGACGTGACGGAGTGTAAGATGGACGATGACGAGGAGATGAAGAACCAGTGCTTCGGTGGAGAGTACATGGGCGAGGTGTTCGACCACATGATGAAGCGCATGTCGTACCGGCGGCAGAAGCGCTGGTGGAATGCCTACATTCTGTTCTACGAGCGCATGGACGCAGCAGGGGGCGACGGAGAGCTGCTGAAGTACATCTCCGAGCTGACGCTCACGCCCCGGACGAACCAGCCTAAAATGCCCTTGGCCATCGAGGCCAGCGTTCGCAAACAGAACGTGCAGTTCATGCACAGCCGCATGCAGTACAGCCTCGAGTACTTTCAGTTCGTTAAGAAACTGCTGACCTGCAACAGCGTCTACCTGAACCCTCCTCCAGGTGAGTGGTGTTTTCAAGATGCATTAAATCTGTCGCCGGACGGTCCAGCAATCCGTGAACGCCTTCTGCTGGTGTTTTGTGTTGAAGGATAAGTTTACTTCCAGAATAAAAATTTCCTGAGAATTTACTCACCCCCAAAGACGTTCATGTCTTTCTTTAGTCGCAAAGAAATTAAATTTTTTAATGAAAACATTCCAGGATTTTTTCTCCATATAGTGGACTTCAGTGGTGGCCAGTGAGTTGAACGTCTAAAATGCAGTTTCAATCAAAGAGCTCTACACGACCCCAGCCGAGGAATAAGGGTCTTATCTAGTGAAACCATCGGTCATTTTCTGGAAAAACAATTATATTTATACACTTTTTAACCACATAATACTTGGTCTAGCTCTGCGATGCGTGTCTTTATTAGCTGATGTTGGAAAAGTCACGCGTGACGTAGCACAGTGATGAACAACAATAAAACAACGATGTTGCATGATTTTAAAGTTGGAGGAGAAAATGAGATGGAGTTTTTAAACGAAGTACAAAGATGAAGAACTAACCGCGTGTGACCTTTCCAACATCAGCTCATAAAGACGCATCGCAGAGCTAGAGCAAGCCAAGCATTTGTGGTTAAAAAGTGTATACATACTTTTTTTTTTTTAAATGACCGATGGTTTCACTAGATAAGACCCTTATTCCTCGGCTGGGGTCGTGTAGAGCTCTTTGATTGAAATTGCATTTTAGACGTTTAACTCACTGGCCACCACTGAAGTCCACTATATGGAGAAAAATCCTGGAATGTTTTCCTCAAAAATATTAATTTCTTTGCGACTAAAGAAAGACAGACATGAACATGTAGGATGACATGGGGGTGAGTAAAGGATCAGGAAATGTTTATTCTGGAAGTGAACTTGTGCTCCTCTTCTCTGGTCTTTCTAGGTCAAGATCATCTTTTACCAGAAGCTGAAGAAATAGCGATGATTAGTATACAGCTTGCTGCTAGGTTTCTGTTCAGCACTGGATTCCACACAAAGAAAGTTGTTCGAGGGCCTGCTACTGACTGGTGAGTGTTTTAACTGCACTACTAGATGAATCTACTCGTTTTAGAAAAGTAGTAAAGTCATGAAATTAAGGGACATACTAAATGACTAAAGTGGCCAGCCTTTGTCCGATTCCAGCTCACATGGAATCACTTACTCCACCAACATTAAGCACTATTGAAGGAGAAACTATGTGGCCCAACAAAACTGATTTTGTTTATTTTAGTTAAATGTTTTTTATTAAATAAACTCAAGTCAGTGTGTCCAAGCGTTTGAACTGGTGATGGAGCCAGTAGTGCTGATTGACTCGTCTCCTCGTCACGGACTGGACTTGTTTTTCTTTCAGGTATGATGCCCTGTGCATCCTATTGCGTCACAGCAAGAACGTCCGCAGCTGGTTTGCACACAACGTCCTCTTTGCATTCCCCACGCGCTTCTCGGAGTACTTGCTGGAGTGTCCGAGTGCGGAGGTGCGCGGAGCTTTTGCCAAACTGATGGTGTTCATCGCACACTTTTCCCTGCAGGACGGACCCTGCCCTGCTCCGGTCACCTCGCCCGGCTCGTCCACACAGGTGAGGGGCGAATAACTGCTATATAACCTCCAGAGTGCATTTTGCCCGTGTCGAGTAACCGGCAAAATACCAGAAGTGGCGCATTCCACGGACGAGAATAGGCTGCATGATATATTAAACCCATTTAAAAATCATTATAAAGCATAATGTTATTGTGAATTCTCAAACGCTACGATTCAGTTAAATACATGCGATGCAGGTGTAATATATGTGCTTTAATTATTTACATGCGTGTAGGTTATGTATGTGCGCGTCAGTGCGATTCACAGTAAACGCTGCTCCGCACAAACTCTTATTATTCACACGTGTGGAGCGTCTCTAACTCATCTCTGCATATAGCTGTGAGTTTGGGTTTATGACGACGTTCATCTGGGAATGCAATGTGTGCTATTTCAGATTTGTAAAGTAAATCATTTATAAACCTACGCAAACACAGGAGAATACATCAATATCTTTCAGTTCATCGCGATTTCAAAACAAAAGCTCAAACCCTCGCTCTGAGTTTACACGTTTTGAAGTCCACATATTCAGGAAATTACAGTAGCTGTAGCATTTCTGTCCTAAAGAAATGGCCAAATACTAAAGATTAAGTGGAGATTTGAATTAAATGTTGTTTAGTCGATATTAACAAGGATTAGATCGCGCAGTAAAGTGTAAAAACAATCGTGCAGGCATTTGTTGTAATGCGTAACGTACAGTAGCTCTATTGTTTATAAAACAAATTTTGTATTTTAACAGTTTTGTTCAATAAAACCATATGATTACTTGCTTTTGATACTTTATTTGAGCTAATTATTATTGCCTCATTACTATTATATATGTATTTTAAGTAATTTTAAAGGCTATTGTTCGCATAGGTCTATTTTTATTACTACAAAAAAATAATTATTGTCAGTCAATAATCATTAGATTACTAGATTACCAAAATAATGGTTAGTGACAGTCCTACTGTGATTTGTGAGCAGGCATATGTTAATGTAAAAAATATTGTGTAATATAACTCGTGTTTCTTTGTTTGCTGGTTTTTATTGTATTTGTTATACTTGTATTTTTTTATTGTTTTTGCCATGAAAACAGCCTAAGATGCTGACATGGCATTAAACCGAAATATCCTACTACTACTATTTGTGAGCAGGCCTGTGACGGTGTGACCCTGAGTGACCATCTGTTGCATTCGGTGCTGAACTTACTGAGAAGAGAAGTGTCCGAGCACGGCCGGCACCTCCAGCAGTACTTCAACCTCTTCGTCATGTACGCCAATCTGGGTAAGTGCTCGTTCGCTCCGGCTCGCGTAAGTCTCGACAGGTTTATGTGGATGTAGAATGTCAGAAGCACAGCAAGAACGTCCGCAGCTGGTTTGCACACAACGTCCTCTTTGCATTCCCCACGCGCTTCTCGGAGTACTTGCTGGAGTGTCCGAGTGCGGAGGTGCGCGGAGCTTTTGCCAAACTGATGGTGTTCATCGCACACTTTTCCCTGCAGGACGGACCCTGCCCTGCTCCGGTCACCTCGCCCGGCTCGTCCACACAGGTGAGGGGCGAATAACTGCTATATAACCTCCAGAGTGCATTTTGCCCGTGTCGAGCAACCGGCAAAATACCGGAAGTGGCGCATTCCACAGACGAGAATAGGCTGCATGATATATTAAACCCATTTAAAAATCATTATAAAGCATAATGTTATTGTGAATTCTCAAACGCTACGATTCAGTTAAATACATGCGATGCAGGTGTAATATATGTGCTTTAATTATTTACATGCGTGTAGGTTATGTATGTGCGCGTCAGTGCGATTCACAGTAAACGCTGCTCCGCACAAACTCTTATTATTCACACGTGTGGAGCGTCTCTAACTCATCTCTGCATATAGCTGTGAGTTTGGGTTTATGACGACGTTCATCTGGGAATGCAATGTGTGCTATTTCAGATTTGTAAAGTAAATCATTTATAAACCTACGCAAACACAGGAGAATACATCAATATCTTTCAGTTCATCGCGATTTCAAAACAAAAGCTCAAACCCTCGCTCTGAGTTTACACGTTTTGAAGTCCACATATTCAGGAAATTACAGTGGCTGTAGCATTTCTGTCCTAAAGAAATGGCCAAATACTAAAGATTAAGTGGAGATTTGAATTAAATGTTGTTTAGTCGATATTAACAAGGATTAGATCGCGCAGTAAAGTGTAAAAACAATCGTGCAGGCATTTGTTGTAATGCGTAACGTACAGTAGCTCTATTGTTTATAAAACAAATTTTGTATTTTAACAGTTTTGTTCAATAAAACCATATGATTACTTGCTTTTGATACTTTATTTGAGCTAATTATTATTGCCTCATTACTATTATATATGTATTTTAAGTAATTTTAAAGGCTATTGTTCGCATAGGTCTATTTTTATTACTACAAAAAAATAATTATTGTCAGTCAATAATCATTAGATTACTAGATTACCAAAATAATGGTTAGTGACAGTCCTACTGTGATTTGTGAGCAGGCATATGTTAATGTAAAAAATATTGTGTAATATAACTCGTGTTTCTTTGTTTGCTGGTTTTTATTGTATTTGTTATACTTGTATTTTTTTATTGTTTTTGCCATGAAAACAGCCTAAGATGCTGACATGGCATTAAACCGAAATATCCTACTACTACTATTTGTGAGCAGGCCTGTGACGGTGTGACCCTGAGTGACCATCTGTTGCATTCGGTGCTGAACTTACTGAGAAGAGAAGTGTCCGAGCACGGCCGGCACCTCCAGCAGTACTTCAACCTCTTCGTCATGTACGCCAATCTGGGTAAGTGCTCGTTCGCTCCGGCTCGCGTAAGTCTCGACAGGTTTATGTGGATGTAGAATGTCAGAAGGATGCTGTCTGTCTGCTGCAGGTCTGACAGAAAAGACACAGCTGCTGAAGCTGAGCGTTCCAGTCACGTTCATGCTGGTGGCGCTGGACGAGGGTCCCGGGCCTCCCATCAAGTATCAGTACGCAGAGCTCGGCAAACTGTACGCGGTGGTGTCGCAGCTGGTGCGCTGCTGTGACGTGTCGCCACGCATGCAGTCCTCCATTAACGGTGAGTGTTAACTAGTCCCTCGGATAAAGATTTTTCTGATCGACTAATAGTCCTTCATTTGAAGCAATCGCACGTCTATATTAATAAACCATCAATAAATCATAATAATGAGCCTTTAATTGCCTGTAGCCTATCAGCGCTCAAGCGCACGCATAAGCTTGCAACGGTGCATGCAGAAATAATGATTATGAATGCTTCAAGGAAAAAACAGCAAGAAGACTGCCTTGACATCATCATAATTCATTGATAAACTAGTGTTTACTGTATTCTCGGCTGCACCGACTCGTCATCTCCACTGTGGATGTGCACGTTTCATACGGATCGCGTACTCTGAAAATAGTTGTTTCCATTTGAATTGCTTTATTTAAAAGTAGACATGTTGCTTGATGTAGAGATATTTTTTATGTCTGCAAGCACAGAGTGCTTTTGGCAGTTTTTTGACGCGCTCAAGTTCACAGAGACCGAGACGGCAGAAAGTGCACCCGATTTGCTTTCATTATTTTACAGAAGCACAACACTGTGTTGATATTGTGAGTGCACACCAATAAAAGTAGACCTTTCACAGATTCGAAAGATGGTATTATTGTGATCCGTATGAACAAAAATGATGGAGCATTTTAAGTTAAATGCAAGTAACCGCACCGGCGCCTCCGTCTGTCATGCAGTGAGCACGCTGCTGTTGAATAGCACACATTTTTCTAGGTTTAGGCTACTACTCACATGTTTTAGATCAGTGTTTCCCAACCTTTTTTTCTGCCGCGTTTTGATATGTAAAAAATCCCCAAAATGTGTAGAAAGGGGAAAAGTTTTTTCCCCCAATAATTAAACATTGCGTCATCAGAGTTGGTATTTTGGCTTTATATATGACCATGACATGACGGAGATCTGTGTCCGTCATTAGAACAGCCGCATCTGAGGCAGTAAATTAATCGCATTACGTTTTCATCAATTTGCAGGTTATAAAGTTTATTGTAGCTATATGGGCGCTCAGTTTCTCTGGTTGTTTAATACATTTGGCCAAAATCTCATGCTATAAATAGCGAACCGCTATGCACAGGGTATTTAAAACATACAAAAGTGTATTGGCTACAGTTAGACAGCAAATGCTTAGACTCTGCTCTTCAAACACACAAAAACATTAGCCTTTATAGACAGCGTTTCTTGAGTAAAGGAAGTGCTGTACTTATTATTCCCCATCATTTCTTTATTTACCCTTTCATTGTGAAGAAGTAGACACCCGTCTTCAAACTGTGCGTCGCGGCGCTTCAATCTGAATGAAGCGTGGTGGAGTTATGAGGTTTGACTGACAGTTTGAGGATCCAATGGCGTTACAAGGTTTAGTCACAAGCTCTTTTGAATGCTTTTCTGATTTAAAATAATAAAAATGAAATATAATAGAGATAAGGCCGTTTTTGATAATGTTCCACAGCACACTAGTGAGCCGCGCGTGGCACAGTGGTTGGGGAACACTGTTTTAGATGATAAGCCACATTTGAGGTTGATGAACAAAACCACACAGAACAGCTGTTAATAATCTGTCCGTCACCAACTACGTGCCTTCGCCACTTTCTGTGATTTTGTTTTTTTTCCTGTGACTAAGCGTCTAATCAAATTTTGATGGACTGAGCCTCTTCTCGTCGACTATTAGGGGGCAGCCCTACATCAAACGAAGGCTCTGAGGGTTTCACTCTCCTCTCTCAGGTAACCCACCTCTGGCCAATCCATACGGCGACCCCAGCCTCACGGCTCCCATCATGCCCCTGCAGCAGCTGGTGACCGAAATCCTGTTTGTGCGCACCAGCTACGTGAAGAAGATCATCGAGGACTGCAGCACTTCTGAGGAGACGGTGAAGCTGCTGCGCTTCTGCTGCTGGGAGAACCCACAGTTCTCCTCCACGGTCCTCAGCGAGCTGCTCTGGCAGGTTAGCGAGTCATGGGTCTTTACTAGAGCTCCACCGATGTATCGGTTTTGCCGATTAATCGGCACGATAGTTGATTGTTGGTAGCTGTCGGGTTGCGGCTGAGAAGGGTCTCCTGTCATTATACAGAGCGAGAGGTGTCAGAAATCACTGACACCTCCTGCTTCTTGTTTTGACACGTGACCGAGGATGCGGATTAAACGCAGCCGACAGAAAATCTGGCCACGCCATTCACATAGCTTTCCATTAAATTACATTATATTGGTCACAAATCGCTGTTAATGTACACAGTAACTTCACCCAGGCTGTAAAATTGCGTATTGTGCATTTTTCTGAGAAACATTTGTCTTTCCGTGGCTCTAATAAAGTCTCTGTGCTTCATATAGAGTACTATAGCTTAATTTATTACACGGCTCTGTGGAATACTTGATTCTGATTGGTCAGTCGCGACATTCCGAGGTATGTTATCCCTCGATAACAACCGGTGAAAGCTGATAACACAGGCTCATCCGGGGAACTGAAGTCGGCGGCCTACTCTTGCTAGGAACGTTTTTTTTCTTGGTGGAAGCTTTGCGTTTGTTTAGCTAATCAAATATTTATATAAAATATAACAGCTAATATAATTAAATATTTAGTTCAAATATTTCAACTAAAATCAATATTTCGCGTCTAATTATTTACTTATGTGGCAAGTAGCCGTGTAATAAGCGGGATAATGTACATCCAGCCGGTTGTTATCTCAGAATAAACCCCTTCAGGTTGATACAAGACTGTTACACCCTGTCAGGGTTTATTCTGAGATAACAACCGGCTGGATGTACATTATCCCTTACATAGATCGCGCTTTCTCTCTCTGTTTGCTCTGGGGGTTTTTAAATGCAGAATTTCAAACTCGTCTGTGCCACTTTGTTAATTTTGAAGTAAACTTTTACAGTTTTGGTGATTAAATAAACTGTTTTGGACCGCCGCTCGAGTTAGTGAGAGTGTGTGTGTGAGAGAGAGAGAGAGAGTGTGTGTGAGAGAGTGTGTGTGTGAGAGAGAGAGAGAGTGTGTGTGTGTGTGAGAGAGAGAGAGAGTGTGTGTGTGTGTGTGTGAGAGAGAGAGAGAGAGTGTGTGTGTGTGTGAGAGAGAGAGAGAGAGTGTGTGTGTGTGTGAGAGAGAGAGAGAGTGTGTGTGTGTGAGAGAGAGTGTGTG